AAGTTACATGCAGACTCTTTCTCTGTGAAGTCTTTTTAAATATGGCTGAAATTGCATGCTATTCAATAAAATGCCCTCTTGTCTACATCTGGTCTGCTAAATAAAACAAGTTCTCTAAAGTAGCAAAATGCTGTGTGAGGCAACTACCCATTATTTGGAATTTTGGGGTGGTGAACAGTGACGTAAGCCAGTAACTTAATCTATACAGTTATAGATTCCAAACAACTTAGGGTCACATCATCACTAACAGTCAGTCTTAATTGTTCTCAAACCATTCTCAGCTTAAAGTGCCCTTGTTGCGCTATCAGAGCATCATGGTGCTTGTGGGAGTTCTGGAAGAACTCCTTTCCCTTCTGCAGGTTCTGGTCAGACAAGAAGCGTTCCGCCAGAGTCCGCTGGATGGCCTTCCGTTCACAGGCCCTGTGGTGAACCCCGTGGCTTACGTTTCTCAGAAGCTCCACTATCAGCAACCCACTAGGGCCGGGGGTCAAGGCTGGAAACACTTTCACCTGTTGTCAGAGGAAAGGATAATGGGCTAATGTTTTATATGTTTCTCTGATAGGATCTACGAAAATAACCAATAGTATTCTGCAGACCTTAAAACATTACATAAATGTATTATGTTGTTGCCAGTTTATTACACCTAGGTATAACTAATACAACGGTCCTGCAATAAATCCATACTCGAATAGAATAATTCATTCATCATTTCCCCCTCCTTGTTACAAATGAGCAGAGCAGTACCGTTTTGAGCAGATACTCTCTGTATGTCTTGAGTAGAGGGTCGACACGATTTAGGTAGTCCAGACTTAAGACTTCTCCGGCTGATGGGTCGGTCAGACGCTGCCAGTGGATCAAGGTGTGGATGTGGAGAGCAGCTCCATTCATCCACTGCTTCACCTGCCCAAGAAGAAACAAGAAGAACTTTACACACCCTCATTCTAAAACTCCTTCTTCTTATATTTAAAGGACCAGTGTGTAGGATTTAGTGGCATCCAATGGTGAAGTTTCAGACTGCACCGAACTATACCGCTGAACTGGGAATGAGCAGAAGGCCCTATCTACAGCCAGTGTTTGTCCATCCTGGGCTACTGTAGAAACATGGGTGAAGCGAGTGAGTTGCAATCCGCAACTACACCGCTAGATGTCATTAAATCCTCCACACTGGTTCTCTAATAGTAGTTGTGAAAGAAGCAGTAATAACAGATGTACAAGCAACGTTATTAATATTATTTGTAATTCTGTAGTTGCTTTGTATCAACGACAAAGCCTACCCCGATAGAGCTGAGAGCGCCCCACTCCAATGACACCATCCTCCCATAGAATTCCGTCAGCTCCAACCGCAGCTTTGTCTCGTAGCTCTCCAACAGTGCCGCCATCTTGTCCTGGTCATTGGCTGCACCGGGAATCTGCATGAGAGACAATTTCTGGATTGAATCATCTTGTCTTCAGACTCTAGTTCGCTACATGATATATTGTATGATTTTACTGGTAAGTACAATATAAGAACAATACAAATCGCTCCATATGTCTCAACAACTTTCAACAGTTCTGCACCTGCGGATAAAATTATGCTGCATACTTTTACTTTTTTACATTTGAATATTTTACTGATCCCTCAGAGAAAATTTAGTTTAGAAGTTCTACCTAAATACATAGAATCTTAAAATGCATATAGTTATGATGGTGATACCACCCAGTTTGAAGAAGATCATATTAGAAAATATGCTGCTTTGCTGTCAACTTGTGCATCAGTGTCCAAAACTGGTCAATTATCAACATTTTGTAATATGGGTATAAGAGTATGAGGCAGTTCAAATATACTGAGAAGACCTGTTAATGGTATTTTTTTAATTATATATTTAGGGTTGGCATAGCAGTAAAACTAAATAGTTACTATTTACAAGACCTACGTTACTTTTGAAAGGAAAAATTAATCATTCTAACACATGAAAAGTTGGATTTGTAAGAAATGCCCATTACTGTTAATAGTACTTAGTATGATATGGCCAGGAGGATATAGTGGCTTGCTTTGTTACTGACCCTGCCAAGTGAGTTTACCAACTTTATGACTTTTGTCTACTTGTATTACTGTTACACAATATTTTAGCATTTAACATTATCCCATAATTGCCACTTGTGGTTGCTGTTTACCAAAAGTTACATAGTAAACATAAAATAATACTAATAATACAATTACTATGAATTAATAATGAAGGTTCAGCCACCTGTTTGAGAAACTCGCTGGCAATGGAGCTGATGTCCGATCCCGCGTCAGCCCCAAACATTCTGCGTATGGGGTTTGGAGGAGGGGGGCGTGCCTCAGGGCTCCGCAAGCTCAACTTAGTGGTCTGGTGATGGGCTAGCATCTCAAACAGAACTGAGAGGGCAAGTGCAACAATACCCACTCCTCCATAACTCACCTAGAATCAACACATAGATAGAAAATTACACTCATTTGGACATTATCAAAGACAAAGACAAAGCTGTTGATTAAATATTTGTATGGCATTTGAGACCAAGCACTTAAATGGAGAATGCTAAGCCCTAGGCGGAGACATAATCTGTCCATTTGTCAGTTACCATCTTTTGGATATTATGCATTTTAGCTTTTTGCACATGAATTATTGACGATATACTTGCAAGTGGCTTGTACAAAATTCCTGGTTTGGTATGTACCTTAGTTATGGGGTCACGGTTTGGTATGTTTTACAACAGCAACAACAAACAAACCAAAATTAAAGTTGCAAGCAGCATCATGTGTAGACCGCACTGTGAAAATTTCACTTAAATCAGATGATGATTTCCACACAAAGCTTACTTCCTGTTTCCAGTAGGTTGGCATGTAGATGTGTTCAGAGCGGGACTGTTATCAGACATGTGCATTTTCCGTTTGATTTGATAATGTCAACTGAAGTTAATACAACTTCCTGTTTCATGGTGAAATATCCCAATTTGACGCCATTGTCATGGACTGAAGAAATTTGAAGTCGATCCAATCAATTCCCTAGGAGACAGCCTGAACTATCACTTTCCAGACCAGCAGCCAGATTGAAATATGCCCCATGCGCTTCTTCATAGACTTTATAGATTCTGCTTTTTTTCAAATTTTCACCCTACAATGCACGTTCTATGGCTCGAGCTCGCCCAACGTGATTCGTCATCACACGATGCCGGTCAGACGTTACCACAGCGTGCGAAGCTTCCGGAGAGAGCAAGATCGTCCATTGCTAGCAACCCAACTCATTATTATCACTGAGGAATTACCGTTCAATGTCGAAGCAGTATGATAAATTGCTGATTAAAGACTTCACCCAGGACCAAATTACAATACAAGCAGGTGTCAATAAAGCGGTAAAACGTACAATCGCGATTTTCCCAGGCTGGTACGAGCGGAAAACCCATGGCTAGCAGATTGTGAATGGCTAACGCTCGTCGTACCCTGGTCCTAATCACCTGATGGCGCCCAAGACAGAAACGCCTGGACCAAAAGTTTAACTGATATGCACCATTCTCTCTGAAAAAGGAAGAAACCGTGAAGCATCGAAGATGCATAGGACAGCTGCCTAAAACTTTCGGGCTTTGAGAGTAAACATGTCCAACACAGTTGGATGAGAGCTACAGGTTAGCGTGCGCCGTCACAACGATGAGGTGAGCAGAAGCCGACATAGTCCTAGCCTACCTTATGACTTGGAAATTTGTGGTGTTTTAGTTAGCTTGCGGGGCAAGATGAAAGCGATGGATCCAGCAACCCTGGATTTTCGTTTCGCGACATTAGTGGCGTCGCTGACGAGTGTTTGAGAGCACCTGAACGGCCACAGCCTTTAAGCTTTAATAGAATAGCTTCTGATTGCATGGATGTGTACCAGAAACATATTTGGAGAGATTACAATCGGCTAGATTCGTGAATCCAAGCAGAATGAACACGGACGTGGTCTACAACTCAGCTTGGTGTTGTGCTTAGATACATGACGGAAAACATCTGTGCAAGAACGGTTCTTTGAATTACTCCCCATCTTGTCAACACACGGGCCGGCTCCTTGCGAAGCAATTTTGAGAGACCTGAACAGCGTTTTCACTGATGATGATACATGTAAACTCATTGCGCAGCTTATACGGTCCATGTGATGAGAGGAGAGAGGCTGGTGTGCAGCAAAAGATACAAAAAAATGGCCATTATATTCATTTTATGCACACCAAACTGAATCATGCAAGCAGGCCACTTCCACATCCCAGCCTGTGATATTTCTCTGACTGTGCATTCCAGTTTTCTTACCGTCACCCAACGCACGGTCCTTCTCGACCAGAATTGTGGAACGAAGCTGTAGAGCATATCCACAAGACGACTTCAACAATCAGGCGTGATACTGTCTATGAGAACCTGGGCACTCATAGAGTGCTTTGAGACATCAGTCCAGACAGCTCATTGACAGCACCACGTGAGGAGCATCTGACTCCTGCAGATGCTGCAGGACAAAATTCATTTTTTCCTGCAGCTATGCATTATTACCAACTCTGAAGCAAGAGTGGACATGACATGTTTTCATCAAACGTGCCCTGCAGAAACTTCACCAGCATGTTCAGGCCATCAGTTAAGTATAACCGAATATAGTAATTATAATTAAATTATGCACAATTTTCTCTT